CCTTGAGCCACATCCATGGAGCATTCTTGCCTGTGCCATCAGCAAACATACTCCTGGATATCACGTACCACATGTAGACACGAGCATATGTCTTCACTGTGTCCTCATTAGCATCCTCAGGGTAATTACTGAAGTTCGATACAATCCACGTGAAAGTAGCACCGGCTGCGACTCTTTCCTTCTTCTTGCCTTCTACTTCTGGTTCCCGCGGCTCCGAAGGAACCATACCGATAAGGGCAAGCATTTGCTCGCGCCACCCATCAGAATCGGTGCTCATACATAGAGGTTTCCCATCGATAGGAAGACCGGTGATCATAGCTATATCCTGGAGCGTCAAGGTCATCTCCCCGGTCCGAAGATGGAAAGTGTGTGTCTCCGGCCTCCAATGATCAATAAGCGCGATGAGTGTTGGAGCATTGTTGGGTGGCGTCGACCTGTTGACCAACTGAATGAAAGGGAGAAGTCCTGTCTCCCTAACATACGGCGTGTACCGCTCATCACAGCGCATCCACCCAAGGTTGACCCCGTGAGCCCGAAGCTTCAGAGGTGCAAGCTCCTACAAGCAAACAAACAAATCATTACATATGGGGGGTATGTGTTTGAAAAAAAACACGAAATTCATAACACTGGCAACTTTCATTATTACATGTTGCTTCACCGACATAGCGTACGACCGGTGTTGTAGATCCCAATGATCATTGAGAAGCCAAACCATCCTAGCAATTTGCAAGAAAGCTTTCTTGTCAACACGATTATCTTTTGAATACAAAAAAACTAAAGTAGGCCTACTAGATGCAACCATACCAATCTTTGTATCCAACCATATCAAATCAAACATAACTAATAAAAAAGGGTTCCACAAATAACTAGGCCTACTTCATACAAATAACTTTTCCATAAACTATGCCTACTTCATAAAAATAACTCTTCCATAAACTAAACTAGGGTTTCACAAATCAAACAAACAAGGGTTCCCCAAATCAATCAAACAAATCAATACATGCAAAGTTCTAATACATGCAAGATTCAAATCTAATCTAATCAAACAAGGATTCCCCAAATCTTCAAAATATCATATTTTCTATGGATAGAAAGAAGGGGATCGGAAGAGAGTACCTTCTAGGATGGATTGGTGAAGAAATGCACGGACGTCGGATCTGAAGGATTTGGGAGAGGGGATTGAGAGGGGGAGAGGAGGAACCCGCCGCGCTGCTGCTTCTGTTACTTCAAACCCGAATGAATGGGTGGGGTGGGGGAGGGGGAGCAGGCGGCTGGCGTCTAAGTCACCGTGCAGCGCCTAAGGGCTGGGCGCTGCACATTACATGTGTGGCGCCTAGCGCGGAGGCGTTGCACTGCTGGGTGCGGGCCCAGGGGCTGCCACGGTGGACTGGTGTGCAACGCCCCCTTGCTAGGCGCTGCACAGTAGGGTATGGCGCCGTCGTGGCGGGCGCTACACAAAAAGGTTAGGGCTGTGAAATAATTTCACGGTCAGTTCATTCCGTAAATTGATTTCGTCCATAGGTCAAAATGGTCAAATTTCCTCCGTCCGCCCCCGTCCCGGCCGACACCCTGCCGCTCCGGACGTCCGTGACTGATCCTGCCGTCGCCGTCCCCCGATATGGCTTCCACGGCACCGAGAATCTTCGTAGAGGTTGATTACCTAGCGCCCCATCCCCCACGTGACCGCCACTGCTCGTTCCAAGCTCTAAGTTGTAGGTCGACGCGACGACGTACGGTGGCTATGGAAAGTATTGGGGACTGACAAGGGTGGACGACAGCGTCGCCGCAGTGTTAAAGCTCCTCCATTTGATGGCATGCACGACCAGGAGGGTGCCTCGTAATCTTAGTGAGGCTATTGGTTCGTCTTAAGGTTCTTTACTATGTAAAGGATATTTCAAAAAAAATTAATGCAATTTGGTGTCCACTTTTATTTGGTCTATATGATTGAATGGCCGCCGCCCTGCTTGTCATATTTCATTTCTCACTTTGCCAATAATTATCCAAAAACATCCTACGATGAAATGGCACATGGAGTTTTGAAACATGATCTGAACTCTTTGACGAATATTCACTTATGCTTTCAACGTAAGTTTCTTATTTTCACAAAGGATATTTTAGTTTCAAAAATATATCATATTATCTATTTAACTTTCGATATAGGCCTTAGCCGTGTTGTTGCAGCGACCGACCACAACCTACCAGCGAGCGAAACTTTGCATAACCCTCCATTTAAAAATACCAGAGGTCCTCACCTCCATCTAAATAGGAAAAAAATACATTTAAAAAATAATCCTCACCTTCATCTAAAAAAATCCAAAGGATTTCTCATCACGGCTAACCAGCTTGCGCCATGTCTGGTTAGCCACCCTTCACGCGACACTTAATGGGTTTAATTACAAGCTAGGTAGGCGTCTCACTTTCTATCAGACGACGATGTACAAGAGAGCCGTCAATTTCGAAACACCAAATTCGAAAGCTTGTATATTACTACAGATCATGGCTATATACTTTGATATCATCTACGTATTGCAGATTATTATCAACATGGATGGATGGATGGATCTTTCCTAGCTGTACATACATAGAAAAAATTGGAAATTGTTTTTGCAACATGTGTATAATGTAATTATTGCTGATCCACAGAACTGAGAAAACATAAGTGCTTTAGTAACCATATAGAAGGACAGAAATAATGAATAAAAATCAGGAACTAATTGAAGAATTGTATATATTCTGGCCATATAAATTATGTTGCAAACTATTGTATGTTCGGAATTTTTTTACGGGTATTATGTTTGGAATTTTAATCTTTCATTCTTGAGAAAGGATACTCACACTAGGAATCGAATTTTAAAACATCCATATGTTTGTGCAAATAGCTAACTCACATAAATTTAAAATATACACCAATTGTAATAAATGTTCTCAAAATTTAAATCATTTTTCAATTTTTTAAAATCGTGAAGGCGACCATGTAGCGGCACCCTGCTGAAAAGGCTATAGCGGGCTATTTAAAACTATGGAAAATACTTGGGCCTTAGCAGCGTTGTCGCACCGACGGACGGACGCGGTTAAGCTAGAGAACAGAGTCCTGTCCTCTTTGAATATTTGTATAAAAGCTAGCTAGGCGTGTCACTTTGATCAGAAAACAATGGACAATGTACGAAAGCGAAATATTGCACAGCCAAAACCCAGTACTAGTGGTGCACGTCGAAGGTTATTTGAAAACGCGTACATAGGGGTTGCCTACTAGGTAAGGAAGCTGGCGCATTTGCCTCCGTGCACCAACCCTATAGCACTATATAAGGACACGCCTGGCCCTAAGGTCAAAAGCACGTCACAACTCACAAAACAACACAGATCATATATACAGCCATCCACTACCGATATCTTTTGAAGCAAATTCGTTTGTAATGGGGCGCGACAGTAGCAACGGCGGCAAAGCCGAGACAGCCGCTGGCAGCGATCACCGGAAGGAGGAGAAGCACCACAAGCACATGGAGCAGCTCGCCCAGCTTGGCGTCGTCACCGCAGGAGCATACTCGCTGGTATGTCTATATCCCTGGCATTACTATTCCCTTGCTATCATAATCTTTCAGTCTTAATTTGTAGCTCTACTTGGTTACTTAACGTCTGGAACTTTGTGTTGATACTGCAGCACGAGAAGCACAAGGCGAAGAAGGACCCCGAGAATGCCCGCTCATACAGGATCAAGGAGGAGATCGCAGCCACGGTCGCCCTGGGCAGCACCGGCTTTGCCTTCCACGAGCACCACAAGAAGAAAGACGCCAAGAAGCATGGCCATCACTACTGAGATAGGAACTGATCGATCATATGCTATATATAGGCTGCAGCACTCTAGCTACTTATGCGGCCGTTCCATTCATTTTTTGTTATCTTGTTCGACGGTGTGTTATTCTGTTCTTATTATGTATTATGCCAGTTTTGCTGTATATATATACATTCATTTAGTTTTAACTACTTGGAAACTAAAAAAAAACTACTACATGGAAACTGCTGTCATACCCCGTTCCTTCAGGCACCTCATTTACATAATCTGTTGGGGCAACATCGGCTGTGATGCCAAAAACCTTCTCTCTCCTACCTTTTTTTGAGGGATTTCCCTCTCCAACCCTAAAACATTTCTCATCGCCAAGTTTTTCATCATCAGTTGGACAAACTCTAAGGAATTGGTGGTGGCGACTGGGATTTCGTGGAGCAAGATTTAAAAGGCGGAAATGAGGGACAGGACAATAATGGTAGCCCCTATGATGGCATCTTCGGTAACAACAGGACCATATTTCGTCTTTGGTGAGTCAGTTGGACTTCATGATAGATGCATGAGTTAGCGGTGCACACATGTAACAAGGAAAAGTAATTTTCCGTTCTTTCATTGAGTTCTTTTTTTCAATTTTCATTGTAACGCAACAGAAAACTCTTATCACCAATGTACATAACCGCTTTCAACTCCTTTCCTTCTCCTACTCCCTCTTTCCTGAACAACACGCGATTGAACCCCTCTTGGGTGCTCCCATTGTGCCAAAATGCTATCGGTGGTGTGCCAAAAACCACCTTGGTAGAATGGAGGTCCCACACCACTAGTATGGTGTCACTGATAAAAATATACTGGTGTCGTATGGGTCACCACGCCACCAATAACATATATAGTGGTGTGTGAGAACTCGCATCGGCGATACATGCCCAGATCACGGTGAGGGCCTGTGGTGCAGAGGCCCTGCGCCAGCCCCTCGTTGATGTGTGCCAACCTCCAAGCTCTACGGAGCGCTCGAAGGTTGAAATGGAGAAGGCAAGCTCTCTGGTCCTCTTGTGTGCACGTTTAGACAACTGCTGACGAAGTAGGACTACAACTCCGACTGGTAGAGGAGCACCATCAGGCGGTTGACTAATTGCAGGCGGAGCGCTTCTGATGCTGCCATCACGGTGTTGGTGGAGACGGACCAATCGATAGTTGATGTCAACCATGCCGTGTATAAATCCCTATGTACCCGCAGCGCCATCCTCACCACCTTTGCCAAGGATGGCGACGCATGACTTCACCGGGGGGTGGGGGCGCTGATGAACCACAACGGACTGTCTTGGACTCCATGCCAGAGCTTCATGCAGAGGCGTTAGGCGATCTTGTGTGCATGTATCTGCCAATGGGCGCCGCCGGCGCCGTATGATAGCTGGTGACTAACTCGCCTTTTTCAGACGACAGTAGCGACCGACAAGGGTGGGCCACAGCGTCGCCGCGGTGTTAAAGCTCCTCCATTTAATGGCACGCACGGCGAGGAGGGTGACTCGTAATCTTAGTGAGGCTATATATTGGTTCGTTTTAAGGCTCTTTACTATGTAAAGAATATTTCAAAAAAAATCAATGCAATTTGGTGGAACTCTTTGATGGATATTCACTTGTGCTTTCAACGGAAGTTTCTTATTTTCACAAAGAGGATTTTTTTAAGTTTAAAAAATATACCATATTATCTATTTTATTTCCGACCTTTGGCTTAGCCGTGTTGTTGCAGCGACCAACCGACACGGTTAAGCTAACGGACACGGTCCGGCCGCCTTTGATTGTTATTACAAGCTAGCTTAGGCGTGTCACTTTCGACAAGGTACAAGAGAGCCGTCAATTTCGCGGCACGTACATACATATGCACGAAAGCGAAATTTGCGGTGATCAATCGGTCTTTATCGATCCATATGAACACAGCTCACCTAGCCTGTTGCCTACTCCTACTAGTTATTTGAAGACGCGTACGTACGCGTTGCCTACTAGTTAAGGAAGCTGCCACGTTTGCCTTCATCTACCAACGCTATAGAACTATATAACGACACGCCCGGCCCCAAGGCGTGTCACAACTCACAAAACAACACACATCAGATCGTATACACCGTCCACTACTCTCTACTGATATCTCTGAAAGCTAGTTCGTTGGCAATGGGGCGCCACAGCAGCAACGCCAGCAAAGCCGAGGCCGGCGGCGAGCAGCACCACAAGCATATGGAGCAGCTCGCCCAGCTCGGCGCCGTTGCAGCCGGAGCGTACGCGCTGGTATGTCCATATATATCCCTGGCATTGTTATTTCCCAGGGATAATAATCTTTCATCAATCTTTATTTGAAGCTCTACCTATAGTTACTTAACATCTGGAACTTGATGTTGATACTGCAGCACGAGAAGCACAAGGCGAAGAAGGACCCCGAGAATGCGCGGTCACACAGGATCAAGGAGGAGATCGCAGCCACGGTCGCAGTTGGGAGTGCCGGCTTCGCCTTCCATGAGCACCACAAGAAGAAAGACGCTAAGAAGCATGGCCACCACCATTGATCAAACTAGGCGTTTGTGGTATGTTGTGTATATATAGGTTGCACCCTATTTGTACGGTTATATGTCAGTTTCATTCATTTCCTCATCTTCGACAGTTCTCGTGTATTATATATGCATATGATACATAAGAACTATACTTGATCGGGCGATGACGACACTTGTGCATTGTTTTTTTCTTGGAAGCCTTGCTTTTGAAGAACCTTCTTTCAAGTCCAGGTGCTGTCTTTGATGGTGGTTAGAGTGCTGCTACTGTGGATGATCAATCACCATGGCCTTTTTTCTCATTTTTCTTGTTTCTTTTTTGCTGTCTACATTCTGAATGTTTTTAGACATTTTGGTGGTGCAGAGACTGATTGTAATTGATATCTACTTGATATAAAAAAATTCAGGGGGGGGGGCGCCCCGGCCTCTGCATCAGCATGATGCATACGGCCATCTTATTAACCAAACAAATAAGTTCCAACAAGATCTCAAAGTCTCGAAAAGTGAAAAAAAGAACAAAGGCTCACACAGAACCAAAAAGGCTAGAAACACCAACTAGCCAAAAGAGGGATGCCACAACCGGCTGGCTAAACAGAGATAGGAAAACTAATTGCCTATCCTATTACATGACCGCCATCCAAACCGGTTGAAGATATCGAGAGCTACCGTCTCCCAGCTGATAGATCCAGTAACCAAACGCTCCCTGGCCTCCGTCGAAGTGAGTAGCGACCAGGAACGGATCAGCAGCGTAGCTCTGAAGATAACCTGCAAAAACTGAATGTGTGTTGTCCTGTTAAAAACCAAATCATTCCTGCAATTACAGAGCGCCCACACCAAGTCGCAGACTCCTACACGAATATGTCGCGCTAACCCGGGCTCTACCCCGTTAAGCCATGTTCCAAATAACGTGTTGACTGAACTCGGTGGAGAAATATTAAAAGCAATATGGACTGTCCTCCATAAAACTTTAGCTAATGGGCAATCAAGAAAAAGATGTTTAATCGTTTCATCCCGATCACAGAAGCTACACCTAGTAGGTCCTGTCCAATTACGCTTTTTCAAATTGTCCTTGGTTAAAATAGCTTGTTTATGTAGAAACCACATAAACACTTTACTTTTCAAAAGAACTTTGACAGCCCACACATGTTTGGAACTAGGAATCGAGCTTGAATTGATCGCATCAACATACATTGATTTAACTGTAAATTCTCCCGACCTAGTGAGCTTCCAGCGTAATTTATCGGGTTGTTGGGAAAATTGAACATCCATCAGTCTCCTTACTAGATGTAGCCATTCTTCCCAACGATTGCCCACTAACGCCCGTCTGAACTAAATATTAAGGGGGATTGACTGAAATACCGTTGCAACAAACACCTCACGTCGTTGAACAATACAATACAGCGACGGATATTGGATGGCTAGGGGAACCTCTCCGAGCCCAGTATCCTCCCAGAATCTCGTACTGGCTCCGTCACCAACAATAAACTTTGTCCTATTAAACAAGGAAAGCTTTACTTTCATAAACCCTTTCCAAATGGGTGAATCAGTCGGTCTTACTGTGACCTGAGACAAAGTTTTGGTTTGAAGATACTTATTCCGAAGGATTTGTGCCCAAGTGGCGTCAGTTCCGCTAGATAACTTCCACAACCACTTGCTGAGAAGACATCTGTTCTTGACTTCAAAATTCTCAATCCCAAGACCCCCTTGGTCTTTCGGTCTACATATGATATCCCATTTGGCTAGACAGTATTTTTTTTTAGCTCATCACCCTGCCAAAAGAATCGGGATCGATAAAAGTCCAGTCTTTTCCTAACATCAATTGGGACTTTGAAAAACAACAAAAGAAACATAGGCATACTCGTGAGAACCGAATTAATCAGAATTAAGCGGCCTCCGTATGACATGAGCTTGCCCTTCCAGCAACTCAGTTTCTTTTCGAATCGGTCCTCGATACACTTCCATTCTCTGTTTGTCAGCTTACGATGGTGGATTGGAATTCCTAAGTATGTGAAAGGCGAAGCCCCCAAATCACACCAAAACAATTGCTTGTAGGCCTCTTGTTCATCATTGGCTCTACCAAAATAGAACAATTCGCTTTTATGAAAGTTAATCTTTAACCCAGTCAATTGTTCAAATAAGCATAATACCAGCTTCATATTTCTCACTTTTACCAATTCATGCTCCATAAAGATGATTGTATTATCGGCGTACTGGAGGATGGACATCCCTCCATCAACGAGATGAGGTACCAGGCCTCCCACTTGACCAGCCTCCTTAGCCCTTCCTATCAAAATTGCCAACATGTCTACTACAATGTTGAACAAAATAGGAGACATCGGATCCCCTTGTCTTAGGCCCTTGTGTGTCTGAAAGTAATGACCGATGTCATCATTAACTTTAATTCCAACACTCCTTTTTTGCGTATATGATTCAACCTGGCGTCGCCAGACTTCATTGAACCCTTTCATACGCAACGCCTGTTGTAGGAATGGCCACTTTACCTTATTGTACGCTTTCTCGAGATCCACTTTAAAAATAACTCCATCCAATTTTTTTGAGTGGATTTCATGGAGCATTTCATGCAGGACCACCACCCCTTCTAGGATGTTTCTATCCGGCATGAAAGCAGTTTGGGAATGTTGCACCACAGAATGCGCAATCTGTGTGAGCCGATTCGTACCAACCTTGGTAAAATTTTTGAAACTAACATTGAGAAGGCAGATCGGCCTGAACTGCTCGATTCTCAGAGCATCTGTCTTCTTAGGAAGCAGTGTTATGGTTCCAAAATTTAAGTGAAACAACTGAAGCCGTCCAGAGAAAAGATTGTGGAACATTGGAAGTAAATCCCCCTTAATAATATGCCTGCATCTTTTGTAAAACTCCGCCGGAAATCCATCCGGCCCGGGAGCCTTATTGTTTTTCATCTGCATTATGGCATCAAAAACCTCCTTCTCCGAGAAAGGGGCAACCAGAATATCATTATCATTAGCAGTTAGTTGAGGCACATCCTCAGTCTTGGACTCATCGAGGGACACACAACTATCCTCCGGAGGTCCAAATAACTGCTTATAATACTCGGTGATGTAAAGCTTCAGGTTATCCTGCCCTACAATAGTTCCTTCATCTTGCTCAAGCTGGAAAATTCTCTTCTTTCTGTGTTTACCATTAACAATCAAATGAAAGAATTGAGTGTTCGCGTTCCCTTGGACCACTCTACGAACTTTAGCTCTCAACGCCCACTTCAACTCTTCTTCACGGAGAAGTTCTTTCAACCTCATCTCCGCATCCAGCTTAAACTGGAGCTCTGCAGGTTGCAAGATCGTGGATTCGGCTTTAATATCGAGGGATTGAATCAGAGAAAGGAGCCTGTCCTTTTCAATCTTATAAATCCCACTAAGGTGCTCAGCCCGTCCCCATAGGAAACTTCTCAAATGTCTAATCTTATTCTGCCACCGCTCAACAGATGTCTTGCCTCCTCTATCTTAGCCCATTCCCTGGCTATCAGATCGAAGAATCCTTCTCGTTCAAACCAAGCAAGTTGATATTAATATATTTCCCATTTTAAAGAAAAACTATACTTGGAAATTGTTGCCCAAGTTTCTCATGACTATGGAGAATGATGCAAGCTGGCGTCTCATCCCCCATGTGATCGCCACTGCTCTTAACAAGCTCTTAGCTGTCGGTCCGTGCGACGACGACGGCTATGGACAAGATCCCCATCTTCCTGGCGGCAACAGGAGCACCACGACCTCATTCATATCCAGCCCAGCAACCATCTCGGCCCGGACGTGCCACGCCAGCCAGAATCCATTTTCATGCCCACAAGGCGTTTGATAGAAGGCTTCAAGGTAACCGAAATTTATTTCTATGTTTTTGCTGTGATGCAGTAATGGATTGTGATGTAAAGATGTTGTGTTGTGAGTTCGTACTCACCCTCCTCTCGACCGACCTCTCGTTCTGGCGCGGGGGATGCGGCAAATTGCGCCCGGACTGATAGATTGTCTGATGAGTATCATTCTCGTGTGGACTCCAGCATTGCTCTATATGGTGTGAGGTCGAGCATTCCTTGCGGCGGGAGGACAAGCTCTCTCCTTGGTGCGGGGCCATGGTGCGATTTTCCGCCCGGCGCCTTGCCGCCTCCGGGGCGTCCTTGCTGGCGCCCACTCGCCGGTCATCAGGGTCCTGGCGGAGCGGTCTGTCTCCTGCGCCAGAGCGCAGTTTCTTTGCCCACGTGCGTTTGAAAACAACACCGGGCTCCTTGGCTGCATCCATATCCTTCATCAGGTTCTGACCTCGGATGATCGGAGCGGTCGCAGTTCGTCTGCTCCTCAGGTTCCGCTCGCGCTGTAGGATTTGCTGCCATTGATCTTCAAGGTCTTAAACATATCCGAGTAGTTCATTTTCGTATCTGGCCAGCTTTACGGCTGACGGTCACAGTTTTTGTTGTGCTGCATCACAACACGGGCTGTCGATGAACAAATTAATTTAATTACTACTCCCTCTGTTCCGAAATAGTTGTCGCTGGAGGTTTCTAGTTCAACTTTCGCATAGTACAGAAATATCCCCACTTTCCAATTTTGCCCTCGCCGGCCTTCGCACTCGCTCGCTCACTCACTTGCCCAGCCGCACTCACTCGCTCGTGCTCTCTCGCACGCTTCTCGCCGCTCGTCGGCCTTCCCCTTCTCACCTGCCTCCCCTCTCCCCGCCGCTCGCCGGCCTCACGCTCCCCTCTCCCCATCGCCGGCCTCATCCTCCCCTCTCCCCATCGCCGGCCTCATCCTCCCTCTCCCTCTCCCTCTTCCTTTCCACCAACCCGCCTCCACTCACACCCCTGAGGTAAAAAAATCAATCTTTTGAGCCGGCGACGAGCTTCTACTCTGGAATATGCAATAGAGGCGTGGATGTGGAGCGCCAGCGCTGGATCTGGGCGAGGGAGGCATGGATGTGGAGCGGCATCCGAGCGGTGGATCTGGAGCAGCGCCGGAGCAGTGGAGCGGCGGATCTGGAGCAGAGTCTTC